TAACAGATCAAAAAGTATATCTCTATATTTTAGGAGACGCATGCACAGTGCTCACCAGGTAGCGTTCTGGGCTCTGGGTCGGGAGGTCTGGGTTCAATACCTGGCTAACCCAAATATAAAACTACGCAGACAGAAGCCCTTGAAATAAAACTTCTAATTTCGATTAATAATGTTCATTTAGTCGCTCTTTATTTCTGTTTCTTTAAACATTTAGGTACAGCGATAATCAGCGTGCCCAGGATGCCATCAACTTGACCTTGTTTCACTGGGGAATCCATGGATGGATTGTGTATGTAGTGGTGGGTCTTCTTTTGGCTTTTGTGGGTTACAGAAAAGGCCTACCCATGACCATTCGGTCCTGCTTCTACCCTCTAATTGGTGACAAGATCTACGGCTGGATGGGTGATGCTGTGGACATATTCTCGGTAGTGTGCACCATGTTTGGAGTTTGCACCAGTCTTGGCATTGGTGTCATGCAGATGAACAATGGTTTCAAGCGTCTGAACCCTTCCATCGAGTTTTCCAATACCAACCAGATTATCATCATTTGGGCCGTCACAGCCTGCGCAACAGCATCTGTGGTGAGCGGCTTGAAAATTGGAATTCGTCGGCTGAGCGAGATTTGCTTCACCCTTGGTATGTTCATCATGCTGATTGGTTTCTTCGCCGACAATACTTGGCATGCGCTGAACGTTTACGTGCAGAGCATTGGTTACTACACGCAGTGGATCATCCAACTTGGTTTCCACACAGATGCCTTCGCACAACTGGGAAATGCACCCGATGGAAAGCAAGCTGAACGATGGTTCAACGACTGGACCATATTCTACTGGGGATGGTGGATAGCCTGGTCACCGTTCGTGGGCATGTTCATTGCGAAGATCTCCAGGGGAAGAACCATCCGTCAATTCATCCACGGCACAATGACAGCCCCCATTCTCTATGCATTCTTGTGGTTTTGTATCTTTGGTAGTGCAGGCTTGAAGATGGAGCGTGATGCCGAATTAGCAAACATAACGTGCTCTTCCCCAAAAGGAGGGAGAGGAGCGACCTCCTCCTTGAATGGTCTGTACCGCTTGTCTTGCCGAGGTAAGAACGACATGTGGTTTGATGTAATGGAACAGTATGGAGACCTTGGAACGTTCCTCTCCGTGATCTCACTCATTAGTGTCATTCTGTACTTCGTAACCAGTTCCGATAGTGGTTCTCTTGTGATTGATTGCCTGTCAGCAAATGGAGATCCAGAACCTCCTGTCATACAGCGTATCTTCTGGGCCCTGACAGAGGGTGCAACAGCTACAGCTCTGTTGAATGCTGGTGGCGAAGAGGGCCTTGTGGCCTTGCAGTCTATGTCAATAGCATCCGGTGTCCCTTACACCGTACTGCTTTGTTTTATGTGCGTGGCTCTATGGCGGGCTGTGAAGATGGAAGGTGGTGACCTCGATCCAAATGGCCCTCAGTTCACTACAAGCCTCCTAGAGGTCCTGAGCAGCCCAACATTAGAAAAAGTCGGCAGGGTTTTGTTAGCCATCTTTGCCCCGTGGTACTCGATTGGAAATGCTGCCTACAAGATTGAAAGAGGAAAACATGGAAGATGGTGGTACATGACGATCATGGCGGTCCTATTTTACCTCTGGGTCATCCTGATGGCGTTGGAGCCAGTCGTGGATTCTATTTCTTACGTCGCGTGGGCCTTCCTGATGGGATTCTTCGCTTATGCCACCTCCATCCGCTACTCCATCCGTGAAGAATTCAATATCTATGGCAATCCCGTCGAAGATTTCTTCGCTGTAATGATAGTGTACCCATTTGCAGCGTACCAGATGGAACAACATATGGATAATGTCTATCTGCTCGATCGCCCCTCTGATGCCTACATGGATAAAGCAAAACCAAGCTCGGCAAGTGGCATGGGTGCATATCAAGAAAATAACCCAAAGCATCACTTGAATCACTCCAATGAGGTGGCAAAGCCCATGGAAAGTGGTACCTGGACACCTTCGATGTCAATGCAGAACCTGTCTTCTAACGGGCCTCATTATAACCCTGCTATCGACGATGATGACACCGCAGGTCGGAAAAGCCCTTACTACTCAAAAACTGAAGTAATTTAAGGTGACCGTGAATTCATGAACGTACGTACATACGATAGGCGCATGCGTTTTTTTTTCAAAATTATCATTAACCTTAACTCAACCTTGTGTGCTATTATGGTCCCAGCTTCGCAAGAATAAGCTATATTTTGAGGATTGATATTCTTTTGTCGGCATATCCAAGCGTTTTTTTCGGTATTGCATGAGAACTTTCATTACAAAATCCCCAAGACTGACCTTTTTTTTCAGTCATCAGTCTTTTCTCTAGCATCTTCTTATTTAAAATTACGATCAGTAGAGAAAAATTCTGTGGGACACATATTGGGTCAATCAGTGTGTCTAAGGCTTTCTCTATAAGAGGGTTGATTTAACAAACTAAATGTCCATCCACTGTTGGTTTTCAGCCCTCTTGACACTGCTCGCAAAAATAAACGTTTAGAAAAATAAATTCGGCTAAATTGAGGATTGTTTGAGACGCAGTTTTGTTGAGCTACGGCTAAACCTCATTTAAATAATCAAACCTTAATGTGTTTTTGTCTCTTTACGTGGTCGAATTGGTGCTTGCCGCTCGTCTCTACTCCTTAGGCATTGCTGATATACTAGTGCTAATAGGGCGATAACGAGAGAATTTTTAAAGAAACCTGGAACCCAGTTTTTACATTTATTTTTCATGAAGTGTCCCAAGAGTTTTTTTCCGCTGATTAACAGTAATTGTGACTGTCAGTTATCATTCATAAGAAAATGTCGTAAAGCGGAACGAGAAATATATACGCAGTAGTTCGTGAATATCACGTGAGCTCCAGGCTTTGCCATCGTACATGGATTTTTTTTCCTTTCTATTTTCTTTTATGGATGCAAGAAGTAATGGGAATTCCGTCGATGAGGGGGTAGGACAAAGGGGATAAGATACTTAAGTATAAGTTTTCTCTATCGTGTGGTTCGCTCAGAACCACGTTATCAGCATTTATCTTATTGATAGTGATGTCAACAGCTCTTTGAAAAACTTGGCTCAAGCATTTTATACTTAACTCTCGCATATGAAGTGCAAGAAAATTTAATAATTCGCAACCCTACTTTGTTAGCATATTTGTGGGGGTAGGGGTCGGGGAAAATTTCTTCCATTCAACTAACACTTAGCTGAGAGCTTGATACTCAAATTATTACTTAGATTCTTTAGGTGCGATTGTTGTCGTAGTGGATCAGAGAAGAACATGGAAACTGTTTATTAATGGTGTTTTCCAGAATTATATACTGCAATGTATAACCATACAATAAAAATGTTAATGGGGGGTGTAGAGTGATTGGTGTAAAATAAATTTACAACGCATCTGCATGAATTTTGCAGTTATAAAATATTCAAAAGTGTAAGGTATCTTTCCTCTCTCTCCTTCTCTGAGGAATAATCATCCAAGGGTGTGACTAGGGGGGATCCTGGGTGCCCTTGACTCCCCCTTTGTAAGCCTCTTTGTCTCATTAAGTGAAATATGGCGTATAGGTCGATTTGACAATCTGGTGAGTACCCTCTGTTTGACACAGAGTGACCCCCCCCAATCCTGGTTACGCCTTTGCAATCCCTGGTTCTCTTACCTGGGTACTCACTATGGGGGTAGGGGTGGTGGGGGGGCGGGGTGACTGAGAGTCAGGGTTGGAGAATAAGTAAGTGATTGTTACTGGAGCTATTATTTATGTTAACTTTTCCCCTAAATTTTGCTGGTATCTCTATCCAACCATAACGAATTTTCCAGCCATTTCTGAATGCCTCGCAGATACACAAAGCTGCAGGTTTTAAAGAGTGCATTTTCAGAGCATTTTCCAGAGCGATCCATCATTCGCAACTTGAATGCATATCCATGTTACACAGTACAGGTACCACAAATGCAGATAAGGGTTATAAACTATTATAAAGACAGAGCGTAATCAATCTGACTTATTGTTGGACGGAGAAAAAAATTGTGCTTTTCCAATGTGTTGTATTTTAAGTAAAAACATATTAGGTTAAGTAGTTTCTATAAAGAAAAAAAACTGTGTTTAACAAAAGAACCTTAAAACATGTTTAAGCTTTGATTTGAATAAGGTATTAGTTATCAGGAATACTCGGGATATCTCGCAAATCATACATGATGTACTATACCTATCTCATGTTACATTTGACCGTGGGCTCATCAAGTAGCACCAAGGAAGGTTTGGTGAACATTGTTCATTCGGCATTGAAATTACTTTTGGTTTGTAGAAGCACCAGGCTCTTATTTTAACGCGATGGATGATGCAGAGCTAACTTATAAATTCTGGAGAATCCGCAAGACGGTCATGCAGGTATTTCATGGAAATTTTTTATCTATAAACTATGCCGAGAACCGTTTCGTTTATTAGATCTCTACCACGTGCGGAAAGAAAATACAAACATTTTTA